AGTGGGCCAGCACCCGCTGCACCCCCACGGCGGAGGGCCACAGCTCCGGCTGGGCGCTGAAGGGGCTGAAGATTATGGCGCAGGCGTCGATCCCGCACAGGGTGCTCAATTCTGTCACCTTCTTTAGCAAACCCTTTTTCCTTTTCTTGAAGGTGGCCTTTCTTGCTGCGTCGTTGGAGATGAACGCCAGCTTCACCTTCTTTCTGGTCATGGCGGATTTCAGCAAAAAGGAGGAGATTTTGAAGGAATTGTTGGTGAATTTTCATGTGGGTTTGTTGCTATTTATATGCAAAGATGAAGATCCATTCCAGTTTAGATGGAGAATCTCTTGTGGTTTCATGTGTTGTATTTATGGTATGTTTTAGGATTTTATGTTGTTTAGATTATGGGTTTTTTTGTTTTGTTTTGTTGGGTTATTGTTTTTCTTCTTGGATTTTGAGGCAATTACGAGTACATTTGGTAACGTAATTTTTTTTAAAAAAAGGTAAGTATTTGATTCCTATTTATGTTTTTTTATTTCTCTTAAATTGTATACAAACAAAACTTTGGAAATTGAAAAACAAGAGGAGCACGTTTGATAACATTAAAACAATTTATTTTTTTGGAACAAATTGGAAATGAGAACAAGGAAGAAGAAACTTGTTTGGATTGTTTCCAAAATTTCTATACAATCACGAGAATGTTCCCAAAAATCGAGAAATAAGAAACAAAGCTAGTTGTAAAATGCTTAGATTTCTTAAGAAAATTGAAAACAAAAAAGAACGTTACCAAATGAGACCCAAGTTTTTCGTTTTCAATTTTTGCCAAACATAAATAAAAAATATTGTTTTATCATTATTGAATTTATAGGTGCTGGGGTCATGCAATCCTATTTTTCAAAAGAAATAGAATAAAGAATGTAAACATTACCAAACGACTCTACATAATCAATGTTACGAGTGGTGTTTGAAACTATGTACATGATTTGTTATATTCTATATAAGAAATGAGTAAAAATGTATATTTTTAAATGTATAGCAATTTTAAATTAATTTTATACAAATCAGTGCAATTCGATCTGAATTCAAACAAAAAATAAACTCTACCAGAAAAAAAGTCAAATTTTTTTATCACCCAATATAATTTATTCTTGGATATTTGATTTTTTTTAATAGATATAGTTTCTTTTTTTAGGAAAATTACACTACCGAACATATATGGGTTCAGATTTTCAATCTGCGACATTTGGGTTGACACATGAATGGTTTGACACATGAATGGTTGTTTTAAATTTAAAAATAATAATAAAGGTACATGAAATTAACAAAGCATTTTTTTTATTTTTTTTAATTATTAGTTCTAAAAATTAGTATAAAATCCAATCGAGGAAAAAAAATGTAAAAATGTTCTAAAGAAACGGGTTAAATTGGAATTTTAGCTCCTAAATTTTTAGGATTATGTTTCAATTACAATAGATG